ACCGCTTTTAAAATTTAGCTTTGTATTTGACTGACATTTTCTATTCTGAATGTACAAAATTATTTTAGGTCAATTTAATTAAAATAAAGTTTTAATAAAAATAATTTTGATGTTCAGAACTTAGGCAGAAATAAGAAAAAAAAACTTAAATTTTATTAGAATAAAATTTTTAAATTATTAAAATATTACAAAAATATTAAATATGCATTTAAGTAAATTATTTTCTATGAGTAAACAGCAGCACTAACTACAAGTCTGATCCATTTCATTAACTTTATTGTCGATTGGCTAATAATAGTTATTGCATTATACTCAGGACAAATAAATTAGGAGAATTTAGGAGCATTTGAGAAAATCACCTATACTTTACGAGAAATTAGGTCTTTTTAGGATGTTTTTTAAATATTAGGATACTTTAGGAATTTAAGGAGGCATGGCCACCCTGCTTCTTACCTTAACTCAGACTAAATTTTTTTATGTGTGGTTTTATTACTACTTACTTTGTTTGTGGTGATGTTTGTTTTAATGTTTCAATCCAATGTCAATTAATGGTCAAAAAAGTAAACTCCAGTCATGTAAATTTACTAAATTAAATCCATTTATCAACAGTATTTTTGCTGAAATAAAAAAAGAAAAGAAATATAATATGGAAAAAATAAAATTTTCAAAATCACCATAACTACACCGAGTTCACAAAACTTTAAATATTCATAATAGTAAATATCGTCGCTTTTCCAGATAATGTTAGCTTCAGTTAAAAATATATATTATACCTGAACTTCCAAAGCTCTATGGAGTGTAAAGGGCAGCAAACCTAATAGAATTAATGATTTCATAACTATGAAGAAATCGAGTAGCTTCCTCAACTAAATTGCAACTGCAGGGCTTGGTGTTGTCTAAAATTTTAAACTCATTGAGATATTAAATTATATTAATAATCATATCGAAGAATGCAAAAAAAAAAAAAACTTTTAAAGATGTAGTGTCTTCTTCTACTTTATATAATGTACTAGTAATGTCTTTATAGTCAGACAAATCTGAACCAGAGCTAAACAAAATAATATAATAACCCAGAATAATGCATAGTAGCTTTGGCTTTTTTACTTGTGTAAAAAAGTGATTTTGATTAATAATTAAAATTCATCAATAAACTTTGTGATGAGGAGAGCAAATAAGTAAAACTAATCATTTAAATGATGTTCAGTTTTAGAAGCTGATAAGAAAACACGTGGCAGAGCTAAAGTAAAAGGCTGCAAATTCAAATCATTGTGTTACTAGTATACCGAATTCCAGGCTCTGTAAAACCAAATTCCAAACCCCATGTTGCATACATAAAGTATGGCTAATAATATAATTTTAAAAGCTGAAAATAAAAAATAACTAGCAACATATATATAAAAAGATTATTTTTTTTTTATTAGTCACTAATGGCGTCATTAGTTATGTAATAATGTCATTATGACATAACAAACTACATAGATGTTAGTCTATGACAAAACCCATTTTTTTATTTAATATCCAACTTGTTGAGTCATGCTTTAATAAAAATTCGGAAAAATGACTGAGATAGTATTGATATAAAATAAGATCCAGAGGTCAATTACATGATCCAAGAGAAAATTTTATCTGATTTGAGTTAAAGAAATTGTGCTTTACCCACGGCTGTTTTACGCAATGTAAAATTGGGCATTACGTCACGAGTTTAGCAAAAACAATTTCCGCATAAAGAGTTTTTTAAAAATTTCGTATAAAAATTCAATAACTTTAAAGTAGTGGGTTTTTTTTTCTATAAACGCTTTTGTGTTCTAATAAAAAAAAAATGAAACATCTATTTTTCCTTGTTAAATAAGTATTCTGATTGAACTGAATAAAAATAAAAGTTGTAAAAATTTTGCTAATGGTTTGGGATCACTTTTCTGTTTTTTGCGTATTTTAATGAAAACCTGTCTTGGGCCAATCAAGATTAGATATTTTAAGCTACATGCTTGATGATTGAAATTTTACATACTTATAAACGAATGTCTATTTTATCAGATTGTTGGAGGGCATAGATAAAAAAAATAGTTTAAGTTAGTTTTTTTAGCATTATTCTTTTTGTTTTTACTTGTTTTATATGAAAAACGTTCAATTTTTGTTATGCCCTCCAAATTATTGAAATTGCAACCATTTATGCACATGAAAATCAAAAAAAATACTTTCTGTACTTCTAACTAAAACGTTTTCAACCTTGGCAAATTTTTATTCTTTTAGCAACAAAATTTGTAGTTACATGCATAAAATTTTTGTTTATATTTTAAAGCAATGACGTAACTTTAAATGCGTTACTTCCCAAATTCACTATTAAATAAAATTTATTAAAACAGCTTTTTTAGCGAGACAAATTTTAGTATAAATAAAACAAACTTTGGCGGGTTTTTTTTCTCGTGGCTAATCTACAAACATCAGTTAAGTTGTTTAATCCTTTGATATCTATTGCATACTTGTTATTTGTCAATAATTATTATTTGATTTTATTTGTTTGTATTATATTTTTATTGAAAAGTTTATTTATCACTATGCATTCTAGTGAAAGGGAGATATTAATACTATACATTGGATGGGAAAATGAATGTAACTTATCTTTTATTAAGCAATTAATGAACGCTGATGATGATATGAATGTTCAGCGGCAAGCTTACCATGGTAATGTATTTGTTGGTAATCATTGCAAAATAGTTTTAAGAAACCACTTAAAACTTTGTAGTGTTATTGATGCATCAATAACACTACATTTTCACTACAAAACTTATTTCTAATTGCCGCATCATGATGATGCGGCAATTATAAATAAGTTTTTGCGTGTGTTTAGCGTTTTCAATAAGTTGCAGCCGATTCTTTTTAAGAAAAAATTTCTTTCCGATGCCAAAGTTATTGAGCTATGTCAATATACAGATTTATTTGCTTGTGAGTTTCATGCTTGCTTTCCTAATGAAAGTATTACGCGAAAAATGCATGAACTCACTTTTAATGTGCCACTATTTGCTAAATTGCATAAAACTATTGGATTGCTGAATGAAGAAGAAGGAGAGAGTTTGCATGGCGGCGTTAATCAGGAATTAAGACAGTTGCATTCAGTAAGGGATCAGGAACAGAAGCTGCGTCTTTTTTTTTAAAACGCTTTGAATTGCACAGCAAAGCTGATAGAAAGCTTCAAGCTGCTAAAGTAAGAAAGCGTGTTGTGTGTTCAGAGCATGGCGAAAAATCGTTTTATAGAAAAGGTCTTTATCTTATTTGTGGCCATCAAGTTCAATTATAATATTAAAAAACTAATTGTATTTAATTAACTTCCATTCTTATCTTTAGAAATTAGTTCGAATGTGCTTCAACAGTTACGTAAGCATTACAGTTTCAGTCATCATAAAGAATTTTGTCTTTCTGGTGAAAGAATGGGATACAACATAGTTCTAACTGCATGTACAAAGAGTGTTAATAGTACCTTAAGAACAAATTATTGGACCAACTGATAACTAAAAAAATTTCTTGCTTATGAGAATCCACAAAATAAATGATTCTAATAAGTCTTAGCAGTTATACAACAGTTTGTTTCAGTCAGATCATAAAGAAAATTCTCAATCATGAATAAACGACAACTAATACGAACCATCATATTGTTGATCATTGTTGGATGGGGCATCATTAGTTAAACCTTACTCTAGAAGAAACATGAAGCGCCAACATTTAACATAAGAAGTCATTAAGATTATAGAGAGTATTTTCCATATGGAATGGAAATAAAACTAGTATCAATTGCATACAAAGATCGTATACTACTTATAGAACATATATAATTGTTATGTATATGTATAAAAAATGTGTTATTTTTCCACAGAAAAGTGTTAATATTGTAATATCAATCTAAGTGTCAGGAAATTACTCTACGACCGAAAGCAAAAATAATTCGAAACTCTTTTTGTTCTAAATCTTTAAAAAAAAAAAAAAATTTTGCGATTTTTTTATTTCGTCTATTGTAGTGCCTGTATCAGTTTGCATTCGGTGTAAATAATGTTAATATGTTTTATAATTGGTCTAACTATGTTTATATTACATATTAGTCAACAGAAATATAATTTTTCTGATTATTTTTGCTAAAAAGTACCTTTAAAATTTCGAAATTTTGCGAAGTCCGTCATTTTGCGCGTTTATTTAAAAATCAGAGCAGCCTTGGATTATTATATTGAATAATAAAATATAAAACATTTAGTCAGTGTTCATATTCCTTTTACAGAACGTATTTATCTTTATTATTTCAAAAGTAATGAAAGTTTTAGTAACACCCCCTAAGTAATTATTTTCAAAAAATAACAAGAAGCCGTATGTCCACTCTGAAACAGCCGCGTACCAAACCAAATAGATTGCCATTACTTCTTTTGTTTTTCACTGATTCAAAGAATATCTTATAGAAAAGTCTATAAAACTCATACATTATCTTGTATACTCCTTTTAGATCAAATCTGTATCATTGTTGTTCAAGTGTCCATAAACCTAATTTAAGTATTGTCTGTATATGGAAGATGTTTTGCTACTATTATCAATTTGCTAAACCAATGATGTATTATTTAGATTATCTTTTTAATATTCTTGGACATAAAAAGATGACAGAGTGATACAAAATATATAAAGAATATATAAAAAGAGTAAAATAGTCCTTGTTCTTGGAACCAAGAACGAAGCCACATATTTCACAAACTTTAAATCAAAAATGTAAATAGCTTTAAAAATTCTGTATAAATAGCTCTATAAAAGTAAATAGCGCTAAAAAATGTCCTGCAATAGATAAAAATCTATATCTTCCAATAAATAAAAAAAAATCGTTCATAATTATTAAAAAAATACAAACCATTTTATAGAATTATTTACCTTATTGACAATATTCTATTTACACAAAAATGTTAACTAAATCAAAGCCAATAAAGAATTGAATGTTATGAAAACAAGGCACTGTGATATTGACAAAACAACAATTATAAAATCACAATAAGATTAACGGTTTTAAAACAGATATAACAGTGGCAATTAAAACAATATTGAAGTTCACTTTTGTTCCTTCGCGGCTGTAAGAGTAACATGTACTTTCGAAGCTTTTTTTAGCATATTTTATTTAATTTGACATAAGTAATTTCCGCATAATAACGTATAATTTTCAAGTGGACTTTGATCGCCTTTATCGTTCGATAACCTAAATTTCATAACCATTTTTAAACTGTTCGGACTTAAAGGAGTTATTTCTTACAGCTATAACTTAAAAACGCATTCTCGTTTTGAGTTTTACGCAGTGGGATAGAATATATCACGCGGATGGAATAAACTACCACAGAGCACATCAAGAGTTTGATGATTGTAGTTTTCAAATAGCGCTTTCGGATATGGAAGAAAACTAAACATAAATTACGTTTTATGTATCCAGAATTAAATTAAATTATTTTTTTTTTAAAATGACCTTTTATTTAAATTAATTTTTTATGACTTTTTATGAATTTTTTAATGACTTTTTTATTTTAATTATTTTTTTATATTTTTTTGAATTATATTAAAAAATTTCTTTTTTAATATGTTCTATTTAATAGTAATAGTAATACAAACTGCTGTAAAGACTATTGTCGCGGAGCATAAAGTTTAAAATTTATACTTTAACAGCCGTTAACAAATGGTTATCTAGTCTAGCTTTAAAAGAATTTACTGTCATTGCAGAACTTTTTCAGGTAAAGCATTCCAATGAGATGTTACTCTGTTCGTAAAAAAATTATGCCTCAGGGTTGTTTTTGCAAATTGTCTTTCAAATTTCATTGGATGACCTCTTAGAATTAAGGAAGAAGCTTTATTAAGCTCTTTATACCACAATATCTTATCAATCCCAGTTAATTTATCTTATCAATATCTTATCAATCCCAGTTAATTTGAAAAATGCAATGAGATCACCTCTTGTATGTCTTGTTTTCAGAGTTGTGAGACCCAACTTTGACAAAATTCAAAGACGAGCAACAAAGCTAGCACCGGAATTAAAACATCTAAGTTATACTGAAAGATTGACAAAGTCATTGTCAATCTTTCAGTATAACTTAGATGTTTTAGTTCCGGTGCTAGCTTTGTTGCCTATCTTTTAATTTTTTCTACATCATTGATATTATTTTTACTACTTGGACTACACACTGGAGCTGCGAATTCCAGGTGTGATCTAACCAGCGATGTGTATAATTGCCTTACCATTTAAGTTTTAAGATAAGTAAAGCTTTTTCTTATTAAACATAAGACATTATGTAAAACATAAGATGTATGTTTTACATCTTTTGCTAAGTTTATTTCATAATCAAAAGTAGATTTTTAACTTGTTTTATAATAGTTTTATTGATTAATTTGTATTCATTATTTAAGTTTGTAATCTTGAAGTTTGTAGCATGCACTGTGCACCATAAACTAAGTTTTTTCTAATTAGATTCTTGATTTTTTTTTATTAATGCATGGATTTTGGACAGGACTAGTTGATTTTTAAATTCATAAATTTTTAAAAAGTATTCATAACATTAATTTTTACTCATTTTATCAAAGATTTCAACCCAATTTACTTTACAAAACATTTGATTCATTTCTTTGTACTTTCCTTTTCGAAAATTAAATCTTTTATTGATGAATTTTTTTCATATGAATTGAATGAATTTCCCATTTTAATATGTAATGGCATTTAGTAATTTGACCAAGTAGAGCATCATATTCAATATTGATTACTAAATCTAGATTGTCACATTTTATTAAATCTAATATATTTATTGATTTATCAGCAATATATTACAATATATAACAGCCATTTGTTGGTTTGCTAACTATTTGATGTTAATAATTGTTTTGCAAATTATTAATAAATGCTTTTTTTGTTTTAGCTTGATAGTTCCGTCTTCATTCCAAATAATATTTGGGTAATTAAAATCACCAACGATCATTACATTTGAGTATTTTCCATTCATTACTTCCTTTTTTGCAGTTTTAATTAATTCATTAATTGCATTATTTATTAGGTCAGTACTGTTTGGTGGTCTGTATATACATCTAACTAATATTTTTGTTTTATGAAGTACAATGCTACACCATATTTGTTCAACTTCTTTATATAAAGGTGAAACTGATACTTCATAAGCAATTATATTGTATTTTGTAAAAATTACAATTATTGTAAAAGCAGTTTTATTTGTTAATATTAATAATTGAATCATTTTTGTACCATGTTTCAGAAATAAATAAGATATTTGGTGAATTGATCATAATTTTTGTTTCAAACTCTGCTATTTTATTTACTAAAGATGTAGAATTTGTATACCAAAACTTAAGATAATTATATTTTTTATTGAATGGGAAAATACTGTCAGATTTGTTTTTATTTACACTAGATAATGAATTAATTTTTAGCTTTTTCACTTTTCTTGACTTTGACAATTGACTCATTTTTGACAATAAAGCGAAAGGGCTGGTCATTATCAGCATTATTTAAATGATCTCTTTCTTTTAGAAGCAATTTTCTACTTTCACGTTGTGCTAATGTTAAATCCCGATTTATATATACTTTATTTTAATATTCAACATTATATTTCAAATTGCTTGCTGACTTTTTCTATGTTATTTAATTTTACTATTACAATACCAGGTTATCGCTTTTCGATTTTAGGCGGTGGTGTCGTTTAATAAATGATTCATCGATCTTCAAATAATTAAAGATCTTTTTTATTTGCTCATTTTCATGTTGTATCTTTTCTTCAGTTGATTTATTTAATTCATCAAGACGGTGTAGAATCAAATTGTATTCTCTTCTAGATTTTTCTTTATTTTCAGCTGAAATTGCAATTGATATTCTTGTTTCTTCTGGTTTAAGAGATTTGTTATGAAATAAGCTACTAAAAAGTGGTTTGTTGTTAATTTGAGTATTTTTGCTAATAATTTGAGCTTGATTATCCTCTAAGAACTTCAATTGCTTTTCTAAGTCAAGATTTTTAGATAATAATTTTTTTACTAAATTTTCCAGTGCTAGAACTTTTTGTTAGTCTCTTCTTTGAACGTATCAAATTATCCTTTTCGAACATTTACTATATTGATTTACATACTCAATGTTTATTTTTTATTTTATTTTCTTGATTACTATCTCTTTTTAATGTATGTAGTTAAATTTCTATTTTGTTTACTTTTTGTTATCAAAAACATCGGCCATCTTTTTCGTGTTATATATTAATGTTAGTAATAATTAAGTATTCTAATGTTAGTAATAATTTAATTCATATATATATATATATATATATATATATATATATATATATATATATATATATATATATATATATATACATATATATATATATATATATATATATATATATATATATATATATATATATATATATATATATATATGTATGTAGAGAGAGAGAGAGAGAGAGATCCTGAAATGGAATTCTTTATAACAGATGGATTCAATGCTGAGGAAAAAGTAGCTTTTACAAATTTAATTTTAAATCAAGACATAACTATGTTTTATGTGTTTCAAAGTAATTTAAAGATGATGAGATTTTGTAGTTGACAAAAAGAAACGATTTGCTTAATGAGTTAAAACTAAATAGTGATTTTAAAGATTTTAGATTAAAGAAGACAATGTTTTTTCGCTTTATCTAAATAAGCATCCTATCATAATATCCTATCGCAAAAATTTAGATAAAAAGGAATTATAAAGAAGAAAATGATATATATTTTTTTTAAATTGACTGTGAATTCATTTTTTATGAAACCATTACTTGTATTTTTTTTAAACAAGTTGGTTTATTATTTTTCAATTTGCTTATATTTATTATTGACTTTTAGAAAATAAAAAATAAATGTTAGCGTTGTTGGCTAAAAATGCAACTATGCCAACAAAAGGGCTTGCCTGGAAGCGCTGGCGTGGGCATTTTTGCTCTAATTGATGTGACTCTTCAAAATAACCAAACGCTCAAAATTCCGACTGGAACTTGCATTGAAATTCCGCCTGGTTATTATGGTCAATTGTTTACAAGATCCTCTAGCTTTTCAAAATATAAATGTTTTAGCAGGAGTCAATGATGGAAATTATTGTGGTGTTGTTCAAGTCTTGTTAAAAAACATAAATGATTTTGAATTAATGATATTTAAAAATATGGCTATTGCTCAACTTATCATTTTGGCTACTAATTTTCCGAATATTATCTTGGTTTCCGAAGAACCTTCAAAACGAGGCAGTAACGGATTTGGATTGAGCAACATGAAGTCTACCCCTTTGGACGCTTACAGTATGATTGAAAAGTCAACATGCAAAAATAATAAAACATATATTATTAATAATAACTCTTAATAGATGGTTTTTAAACACGTTAATTTTCTTCCAGATTTTATGTAATGTTTTACGAAATAATTTACGCAAAAAGATTTGCAAGATCGTAAGAAGTGTTCTTCTGCTTCGTCTGCTGTTTATACTAATTTGAATAATATCTTAAAAAAATATCTTGTAATGCCTAAGATGGTTTTATTTGTAAATATTTTTTATTTTTTTCTCCTCGCGTTTTTTTTTAATTATCTTTTGCTTTATCTTTTTTTAAATTATATTTAAATTGAAACAGATTTATATTTTGGATCCGAATGGGTTCACTTTTCCTATAAAATTGTTGGACATGTTATAAAAGAAGTTTTCACTGATGTTATAATGGATAATTTTTTTTTTAATGTTTTGTTTACATTTGATGTAATATATATAAATTACATATTTTTCAAATACAAACAAGGCTTCTAAAAGATCTTATCGTCAGTAGCCTCTTACAAAAAAGAGTACGTAAAATATAAAAACGTCTTTTTACAATAAGAGTATGTAAAAAATAACGTAAAAACATTAAATCGTGCTTAGATAAATAAAAATAAATTGTAAACAAGTATAAAACAAAACTTGAACATGCATGACAATAAAAATTATTTTTTATTACAAGATAAATTAAAAATATTTGAAGATATTTTTAATTGAGAGAATGAGATTTTTTAATTTATTTTTATAAACAGGATAAGTTAGGGGTAAGTCGAAGTTAGGCAAAATAATTTTGTTTCTGAGATGAGCTGCACGATAAGTGATACAAAATTGATTGAATTTTGTTCGACAGTGGTTCATTTAAATAATTATTATTCATGTTAAACTTGCGTAATAGTTTCAAAATAAAAGGTCTTTAAAAATTTAAGTAGATAAATCATACTTCCACATATAAACAAAATATAAATTTATATGCGTTTAGTTTATATATATCAAGGATTTTCATTTGATTAAAAAATATTGAGGAATGTGCGAACCGATCCGCAGAATTAATTAAACGGATCGCATGTTTCTGACGGCGATAGAGACATTGTAACTTGCTTTGATCAGTGCTAGTTAAATTATTTTTATCTAAATGAGTAGGCGCCTTATATAAAATTCAGATACTTTTTAAAGTTTTCAAGCAGAAAGTTAACATGATGTTTTTATGTAATGTTTTCGTCAATGAAAACCCCAGGTATTTAGTTACAGAATCTCTTTTTATTTCAATATGATCAATAAAAGTTTTTGGTAGATTTGGGAGTAAAGAACGATTTTTTTAAGAGCGGGTGGAAAAAATCCATTTTGTTTTGCTTACATTTAATGTTAATTTGTTACTTTTAAACCATTTAGATATGTTTTAAAGTTCTTTGTTCATCATGGAGAATAGTAGATAAATGCCGCTGTTAGAGAGAAATAAGTTTGTGTCATCAGAAAACATAATACTTAAAAGATTTGATGCTTTATGTAAGTTGTTGATATATATTGAAAATTACTCTTTTATTTATTCCGTAGCAATTAAGTTTGTAAAGCAAAATACCATGATCGACAGTATCAAATGCTTTTAAAAGATTGTTAAAAATTCGTAATGTGAATTGAGATTTTTAAAAAGAATTGGAGATTTCACGTACCAACTGAATAATTGCATACTTAGTTGATTTATTATTTTTGAAGCCAAACTGATTGTTGTATAATAAATTATTTAAACTAAAATAATTGAATACTCTATTGAACATGATTCTTTTTAGTATTTTTGAAAATATAGATAAGATAGAGATAAGCCGTTTCTGATTATACATGATATATACATAAAAAATTATACATAATACATACATAAAAAAATTATTCATAAATTATACATAAAAACTTTTATTATACATAATACATAAATTATACATAAAATTCTTTATTTTTTACTCCTGATTTCATTCTCTACCTCCACAAATCTCTTATTTTTCTCCTCTACAGAATACTGTTGTCATATTTGGGCTGGTTCTTCTAATGATGCTCTTTCTCTTCTAGATTAGGTCCAAAAACGCACTTTAAACGTATTTGGACCCATTCTACCTGCCAAGCTTGAGTATCTCTCCTATCGTTATAAAGTTGCACCTCTTTCTCTTTAATACTATCGTGGTTGCTGCTCACCTCTAGAGCTATCACCTCTAGTTTCATCAACTAAAAAGCATTCCCGCTCGACTCATTATTTAGCATAGTCTCATTTTCTTTACTGTATTTGTCCCAGCATGCTTTAAAAACTTTTATTTGTCTAGTTTTTTCCCCGTACTACAACCCTTTAAAGCTCTCTCCCATCTTCATGTTTTCCTGACTAAAATAACATACAACTTTTTAAGTCTTCTGTCAACCGTTTCCTTGCTCTTTAACTCTATTCTCTTTTTTTCTAATAACTCCAAATTAATAGTGGTTGTTTGCAGTCTAGTTGGAAGTAAATTAAAAGAAAAAAAGAAAAAGATGTATTCACAAAAAAAACATTGTCACACATAAATACAAGCATAACAACAAAAAATACAAGCATAATGTATGATTATCATGCATGTTTATACATTAATGTAAAAGACATACATAAATAAGATTGTATGTATCGAATAATATGACATATGCACAATCATATATCACATCAAATAAATAATATATATATATATATATATATATATCATCATGAGTATATATTGTTTTATATATATATATATATATATATATATATATATATATATATATATATATATATATATATATATATATATATATATATATATATATATATATATATATATATATATATATAATATATATATATATATATATATATATATATATATATATATATATATATATATATATATATATATATATATATATATATATATATATATATATATATATGTACACATGATTTCAAGTACATAATTAATTTAGTATATTTTATGTTCGATTATTTATACAGAATAAACACTTTAAGATTGATTTTCATTATATTCAAATACATAGCTTATAGATAAGTTGTATTTCCCTATAAGTCATGTAGGTAAATAAGTTGTATTTGCATATTTAATGCTTTTGAAATATAATGGAAATCTATTTTACAGTGTTTATACAGTATATATTTTCTAATATAACACTATCATATAAGTATAAAAAACAATTTACAGTATAAATTACTCTATTTCCTAAAAAAAAGCTACGTCGGTACCAAATAAGAACCACGGCTTTTGTTTGGTAAACTAAAATGATTACATTCAGTATAAAATATTTTCTTATACTGACCTTGATAAAAAAATGAATTTTCCATAAAAATTCTGTGTTTTTTTCAAACCTTCCACTTTGGTTAGTATCGAAGTTGTAACAAAAATTTTTATAAGTACTATAAATAATCAGAAAATCAAGAGTATACTCATCGGATTAAGTATACTAATCTATTCTGTCATCAATTTTAATGAGTTCTGAATAATGATTTCAAAAAATAGCTGCTTCGGTTAAAATCAGTTGTTAAAATCGGTTAAGTACAATCGGCAGAGCCGTAATATGGCCGTTATTTTTTAACTCCTTAATTAAAATTTTGATCTAAAAAATTCATCGAAATTTTTAAATCGTTTAAAGATAAACGTTATTGCTGAGGTTACCAAAAAAAAAAAGTAATAACACTACCAGTCCAACTGTGGCCAATAACCCAAAGGCATGAGAAGTGATTGCCGTTTAAGTAAAATATGAGAAAGATTTGGATATAGACTTTAATTAAGTTATATAATATTTGATTAAGCTAATAAGGATAACGTCTTATTATGCCTTACTTATTCATAAAGATTTTATGAATCATGAGGTTCATAATTTATATATTAATATGACGCGGTATAGTTTAATGAGATAATGAAAATTCTAACTCAGTTTTTTTTTACTCGATTATAATTTTTATATTTAATTTATTTACAATTAGTTACTTGTTACATGATTTATTATAATGATTTATAAACACAAGTTTGACATTATCATGTCAAACTCAACTCTCTTATGCATAAGGGTTTAGCCCACATAATGTATTCTGTAAGAAGATGGTCAATAAGGTTCATAAAAAAAAGATTAATAAAGAATATTTATAAAAGAAATGTGAAAGATTTATAAACAAAGAAAAAATTTTCAAAATTGCAGCTAAACATGTTTTGCTATCGAAAATAACAATAAAACTAAGAGAAAGTAGTATGAGATGTTTACTCATACCCTTTTTTTTGTCCCTAGTGAAAATCTCATATTTTTAACACGGCGCAAAATTAGATTTTAGGTGTATGAGATTTTTAATTACATGAAATTTTTTATTCTCTTTACTATTTAAGCTTAAAGCTGTATAAACTAAACCTAAAATTAAATAAATAAAACTTCTTATAAGAAGTTTTGTTTATACAGCGCTATTAGAATCCTAATGTTTACGTGGCGCTTAGAATTTTTATGTTTATATAAGCTTATTAAAAGTTTAACTTTCAATAATAATTTTATTATTAGCTTAATTAAGTTAAATACAGTAACTAACATAAGTTACATACAGTAACGTAATATAAGTTACATACAGTAACGTAACATAAGTTACATACAGTAAAATTTGACATAAGTTTACATAAGTTACATAAAGTAAAATATACACTTTTAGAAATTTTAACAGTTTATAGTATCATATATATAACTTATTTTAAACAATTTATTTCTAATTTCTACTTCTTTGACATATGAAAATCGTTATAGAAATAAAAATATGTAGATATCTTTTAAAATTGTAATTAAATAAGCCTGAAAAAGATAATGTTGTTTTAAAGTTAGTAATACTAACGAGATTTATTCCTACAAACAGCCTTAAAAAAAACAAAAATAATAAATATGCTGTTTAAACTAAAACTAAAATTAGTTTAAAATAAGATCTATATTTTTCTATTAAAAATTCTATTAAAAAAATCTATAAAAAATCTTTCAATTAAAAATTAGTAAAAAGAAAGGTTAAGCATCATTATTTCGAAAAGGATTTTTTGATTCTAAAAAATAATATGCAAGCAATATAGAAATGTTTTCGTTTACTATAAGGTTTTTAGGTTCTGGGATATGCAATAAGTTGGATTCAAAAGCAATTCCTATTTTACTATTTTTGAATACACCACCATCACTGTTTCTACCAGTATCACCAATGTCAATAAGTGTGAACTCATAGTTTACATTGCAAATAG